GAGTCAGGGTTGGGGTGGGGGAGAGCAGGGGCTTGCGGGGAGAGGGGTTAAGAGTCTGAGCTGAGCCAACCTGATTATGAATGAGGCTCACCTGAGCAGAATCAGGCACCTTCCCCGGTGAGAGCAGAAGGTGGCTACAGAAAGGGGAATTTGTGTCTAGTTTAAGCGGAGGTTAAGCTGAGCTGGGAAAAGTGCCTCAGGCAGGGGGAGCCTTGAGTAAGCAAGGGAGAGCATTTGAGAGACTGGGTAGGAAGTCCGAGCTGAGGGTGGGGGTTGTTTCCCATGTTGCCCCCCAGGAAGGAGGCCTACAGACAAGCTAGCGGCCAGGGTACTGAGCCCGGCAGGCGGTCGCTGAAGACAGCCTCAGGAAGAGCTCTGCTACCAGGGAATGCTGTCTGTGTTGAAGGCATCTCTGAGTTTGGACAGTTGTGACCCCCGTGGGGAAGCCTTGCCAGAACTGAGTCACTGGAAAAGAAGTGGCTCCCGTGGTGCTGTATGGACCTTTGGCAGGGAGGCACTGGAGTTGCAAGAGAGCTGTCGTGCCTGGCTGTGAGGGGGCTGCCTAGCAGGTGAGTAGACTAGCTCACACATTGCAATGAGAGGACACTTTCAAAACAGATGGGAAAAGGTTAAAAGACACTGTAGTCTAATTGTGGCTTTTGTCCTACTCTTTTGGAATGTCTCTGTGTGCCAGTAACCCTTTGTGTATGCAATGGGTAACGGTGAAAAAGAACTCAAGAGACAGTGGCTAAGAGAGCAACCTGTGTTTTGTTCCTAACCCTTCTGCTGCCCAGTCCTGGACAAGCCACTTGATCTGCATGTGTACTGGTCTGTTGTTAGATAGCAAGTGCTTTCTGTGTGTTTGCACAGTGTGTAGCGTATTGGTCCACCTGGGTGTTACTATGATGGAAGTAACAATGATTACTCAGTATGTCAGACAAAGCTGCGTTTTAATAGCTTGTGTGGAATCACTAGCAACAAGAGATTCCTTTTGGAAAGGTAAATGCCAGTCAGGCTGATGGATGTTGTATGACCAAAGACAAGCAATCTGATCTTAGTCAAAAGTATGGATCTTGATGTTGTAGGCTGGGCCAGGTGTTGATGGATACACTAGTAAAAGCCCCCATGAAACAGAGTCTAAAACAGCATAAAAGGATCATGGCCCTTTAGCTAATGAATAGCTTGTCATATGGAGCAGTTGAATGCTCTCACTTTGAGTCTGGATCTCTACATTCCCAGCGACTTCCTGGTAAACTGACAGCTCTATTCCACTCCTTGTTTGCTAGCAGGAGCAATCAGAAAGTTGCAGGTAATCCTAAAAACCTCCAGAACCACCTTGTCCCTGTTGTTACTCTTAAAAAACCAAAATCTAACAACTGCACCAGCCTCCAGATAAGCTGATAATATTTGGGGAAACAGCTGCTGGCAATTCCAGATAGACCCCAGCACAGATCTTGATAGTCCTTTGGCAATGCATTGTGTTAGTGAAGGTCTAGTCTGATGGATTACACTGTATCTGGGGGGAGACAGCCCATTTGTAAGCCATTATGAACTTGTTAAATATGCTCTTAACTGGGTGATAGAATCAGGAATAGTGGTTAGCAATTTAGCCTGGAGATAAGCAGTTTATGCAGATGTTTTGTCTTATTTTGTATTCATGGCTTTAGGGAGGGGATGGAGGGAAGCAGAAAGGGGACCAGTACTGAGCTAGTGTGAGAGGGAGATGAGTCCCTTATTATATTTCACAACTAATTTAAAGAGAAATTGGGATGACTTCCCTGTGGCTACAGTTAAATCATCCCCACCAGAGACCCTACTTCAGGGACTTGGAAAATATTTGAAAAGCAAGTCTTTTGCTTTTTGAATACATTGGACTCCCTTGTGGAACAGTTTTTGGGGCTTGATTCCCATTTAGAGTAAAAATAAAATTTTCAGAAATACCCAAATGATTTAGAAGCCTACATCCCAACGGGGAAAATTTTACCTTAAGGCCTTTTCTCATTGCTGTTGCAGTGCAATGGGGCTGTTAGAGAGCCAGGCTTTTGGTGTTTCGCACAGGCTAACAGGGAGAGATTTTTGTGGGAACTTCTCTGAAGGTTCAAAAGGCTGGCTAGTACAGCACTAAATCAGTGGTTTTTCTAGGCAAGTCCATTTTCTTTTCATTAATTATTAATAAAGCAGTGAGGAAGGCAGAAGGAATTTCTTGGGTAGGTTTTTGACAAGCTGAGGAGGTTAGTGACACAAGACTAGCAGAAGGCCATTAACTTCAGTCAATCAGGAGTTCTCCAGGCATGGTCTGACCTCTGTCCACTTTTGAGATGGCGATTGCTTTCATTGCTCTATTTTTCATTAACAGGCATCAGTGGGAGTTGAGGAAGCTCAGTAACTCCCAGGAAGTGGCTTGTAATACCTTGCCGGGAAAGACCTGGGAACAGAAGATCTTTAGCTTAGATTAGTGCCTTTGTTGGAAGCTTTGCAAATGCCCGAGGGTTTTGAGACTGTGCCCTTGTCAGAAACAGGGAAGTGAACAAAGCAACTGCAATCTGTTTCAATCCTCTGGGCTCATTATTTTAAGGAAGCTTATTTCATTTCCTGGGTGCTGCTTTTTTACTAATACATTCATACATAAAGTCAGACTTCATTCTCAAGTCCATCCTAGTTTAGCTTTGGGTGAAGCTAGATCTCAAAATATAGGAAAATTGGCTTCCAAGGACAGAGCTGAATAGTGTCTGAAAGCTTGGATTCAGCATGGACACAGTGACTGATGTGCTGACATTATAAAGGACTAATTACTGCTAGGCTGTGCCTACACTGGCCACTTATTCCGGAAAATCAGCTGCTTTTCCAGAATAACTTGCCAGCTGTCTACACTGGCCCCTTGAATTTCCGGAAAAGCACTGACAATCTACTGACTAATGTGTAAGGATTAGGGCATTGTAGCCATATATTAAAACACACTGTAGATAACCTTGCTGATTCTGGTGAGTTTTCTACGTGGATAGCTGCTACAATGGAGGAACCAACTGAACAAGGGCAGAACACCATGCTTAGCATCTTGCATGCAAATGTCTTAGCTCCCCTCTGTTTGCAGACTCGTCTGTGGAAATTCTTCCATTCTTCTGCAAGCAAAAGCAGAAAGCTACAAATATTACACATGATTCTTAAATGCTCCAATTGTTGCGTGGTTGCTTACACATCATGTATCTGAATAGGAACACGCTTATACAGCAGTGTAAAGTGTTAACACTCTCCTACTCCATTGTGGTATGCCTACTTCTCAGAGGGAGGGAGAGAAAGTACAAGGCAGTGTAGAACCAGGACTATTATCTCTGTGCTTGGGAACCAGAAGACCTAGGTTCTTTTTGTGACTTGGCCACTGGCCTGCTGGCTGACGGTAGGCAAGTTGCTTTACCTCCCTGTACCTCAGTTTTTCCATCTGTAAAATGGGGTTAATACTGACCTGATTTATGAAACACTTTGAGATCTAGGGATGAAAAGCACTAGGGTTGATGATAACAGATCTGGTAGACATTGATGGAATGGGAGTTACACATTTTTTCTACAGCTAAAGTAATGTGTCATGTAGCAGCTTAGGGCTCTTGGGCAGAGAAGCAATGGTGAGACACACTTGCTCATTGGCACCAACTTTCCCTCAACTCCTGCCTCTTCCCCCACCTCCCCTCTGAGCACACTGCATCCCTGCTCCTCTCCCTCCCTCTGGAGCATCGGGGAGGGGGGGAGAGGGGTGGCAGAAGGGGAGCTTTACAGCTGGTGCATGCTGAGCACTAGCTAACTTTCCCCTGTGGTGCACCTGCCCCAGAACACCCACGGAGTCCGTGCCTATTCGCTCACTGCTAACTTAAAGCACAAAAAGAAAAGCCCACAAGAACCAAGCTTATTTCACAGGCCAGACCCCTCTCCCAGCCTGGGATAAGTCCTTTCTTCCACAGTTTCAGTCTTGGGTGCCGATTTTAGTGAGGAAAAGAACCCACACTGCTGATCTCATACCTCAGCATTCGCTCAGAATCCTTCGTTTTCTGGTTTGATTCCCACTGGCAGGGGGAGGGAAAGTATAAGTAGCCCAAGATAGAGTCCAGTAGCCGGTGACATGATCACATGACTGTGCAGTGTCAAGGCAGCCAGGAGTCTGAGGCTGGTTGTAGCTTCCCAAGAAGCTTCTGGGAAAGGTGGGAGACTAGCATCTTTAAAGACCTCTTGATCTTCCCTAATGGTTCACTAAGTAACCAGCCAGACTGGTTGCGCTTTTGTCTGGGGGCCATTCTCCAGGCATAAAAACTTTTGTAATTGGTACAAAACAAGCCTGCTGATTTGGGGAGGGGAGAAGGGGAAGCAGCTGCCTTGGACCCTTTAAAAAAAAATTGCTGGGCCCCAAGCTGCTACCTTTACACTGTAAACAATAGCTGCAGGAGCCCCAGATGGTATTGAAGGGCTCGCTGAAAGAGAGTAGCCTTCAGTTCCCCCTTCTGCCTGTTCTGGTACATGGTCAGTCATTCTCAACATCAGATACAGAAATAAAACATGCTCGCAGATATGGGGCAGGCAATAATTTTAGAAGGGGGGCCACTTTGGACATTTTGAAGTGGCGCCAGGGGGACGGGGTGGGTCTGGGGCAGAGTCAGACACTTCTGTGCTTCCCCCACCTGCAGACCCTGACTGGCCAGAGGGTAGGGCCGGCCCGAGGTATTCTGGCATCCCGGGCGCGCGGCGCCGCCCCCAGGCACACGGCGCATGTGTGGGCCCACCCGTGGAGAGCAGGCCTGCCCCCCTAACATGCGCAGGCCCACCCCGGGGCGCATGGGGGCGCTATTTTGAAATAAGATATTCCAGAATATCTCTTCCAGAATAGCTTATGCCAAAATATGCGGTGGTGTAGACATATCCTGTGATTTCATGAGTTGTCTGCTTCATTCCTTCTTAATAAATTGCTGAGGATACCCACGGTCAGCTGATGAAAAATTAACATAGCTCAGCCAGTGCCGGACCAAGCCACACTTGCACCCCAGGCAGCGGGCGTGGTGCATGCATTGCCCCTCCCCCGGGCGCGTGTCGCCCCTTACCACTTCAATCAGGTGCCCTCCATAGGTTGGCACCCTAGGCAGCTGCCCAGCTCGCCCATGCCTCCATCCGGCCCTGCCAGGGGGTGGGGGATCATGTGAAGTCTTTCCCCTGACTGCCCCTCCCAGAAAGAACTACCAGCTGTTCTGAACAGCTGGCAGTTCCCTCTACCCCCCAGGCTCTGATTGGCCTAAGGGGCAGGGGAGCAGCAGGGCATCTATGGGCTGGATAAACCCACTTGAGCCTCCATGGGCTTAATCCAGCCTGCCTCTTGCCCACCCCTGCCACAGAATATATAATCAATTCAGTAAATCACAACCTTTGCGATGATATCTCACGTGATCAATCTTAAATAAAATATATCTTAGTTACCCCATATTAATATCACTAGACCGGGGGCATGGTGCCACGCCCCTAGGGGTGTTTGCTCCATGGAACTCCCAAGGGAGAGGCTACTTATGCAGGGTGGGCCTCATCCTCCAAGTTGCTGAGCATCCCCAGTGAGACGAGAGGAGCTCACCACCTGGGCCTCCATCCCATGGCAAATGGGTTCTGTGCCATGGTGACTCCTCTAAGGCTGTGTCTAGACTACATGCAGATTAGACACATAGGCAAAGGCAAATGAAGCTGCGATTTAAATGATCGCGGCTTCATTTACATTTACATGCACGGCAGCCATGTAAATGTAAATGAAGCCACGATCATTTAAATCGCGGCTTCATTTGACTTTGCCAAAACAACAAATCTACGTGGCTCTGTCGACGGAGCCATGTAGTTTAGACGTACCGTATGAGCAGTAGAACTCTTAGAACTGGCGGGGGCTCTGTAGCATCATGCAGATGTGGCCAGATGGAGCTTCATGTCAAATGGGAAAGGGAGAAAAGCATTTGGGAGGGGCGTTATTTATACATGTTTTTGATGCAGCTTTGAGGATGACCCCAGAGAAGGAGGATCCTGGCCGTAGGGGCTAGATTGGGATTTGCAAGATAAAAAATTTAATTCTGTGCTCTACTGTGTGTGTTCCTGTGTGGATTTAGGCAAGTCAGTTAATCTGTGCCTCAGGTTCCCCATCTGCATTTCTCCACCTTACTGGTATGTTGTGGTGATAAATGTATTCAAGATCATGAAGAAATCCAGTTCTGTGGGGATGAATAAGTACCGGAGGCAATATGGAGGCTGAAGCTTGAAAACCAAAGGCGTCTCCCTTCCCAGCCAATTTCATTTAAGCATAGTGAGCAAGGAAGAAATGTAGAATTCAGTGTGACCTTCAGTTTTAGCCTCATGCTTAATGAATTCTTGGTGGCCCAGTCCCCCTTTTAGGGTGAACAGATTAATCACCCCCATCTCAATTTTTCATCCTTGGTAATAGGTAGCCATTTAAGAAGCCCCAAATATCAAGACTGTCTCTATAAAATAGAGACAGCTGGTCACCCTACTCAGTCTGCATCTCGCTATTTTTCCTTGTCCTTCAGAGAAACCTACTTAGGGGCTCATTCACCATGAGCTGCAGGCTGAGTAATCTGTTAACTTGTTCCCACAGCATGTCCAATTTAGGGCTTTCAGAAAAATAACTTGGGGTGGGGAGTGGAAACACCTCCAGAAAAGCTGCAGCCTCCCTTCATGTCGGGGGTTTGTGTGGCTTCTAAGATAACTAGTAAGTTTACACTTGCTGAGCTTCTGTGACTGGAAGGAGTTTGGTTGGTTGGTTAAAAGCCAGAGAGAAAAATCAGATGACCGAGCCTATGTCTACACTACAACGTTTTTTTTCGGGAAAAAGGTACACAAATTGCACTTCCGACGGCAGGGCTGCGTACGCTACCTGGACACCGAAAAACCTGTAAATGTGCCAGGGTCTCGCCTCCTTCCTTCCGTCTCCACCCTCCCCCACAAAATGCAGATGTGCCATGTGGGTTGGGGGGATGCTACATTTGTTGTTTTTAATATATAAAATCCTTGGGTTGGGAAGCAATCCTTATTCTAATACATGAAAACAAGCAAGCACACCCTGCAAAGCAACAGGGACTCTTGTACCAATTGCTTCATAGGAACCTATCAAACCACTCCCCTTCCCCCCTCACCCCCCAGCATTGCAGCCACTGCACTACTGTGCTTGGCAACAAATATAACTGGCTTTCAGTGTCAAATTGCTGGCTCAAGGACTTTTCTGATTCTTATGGCCTCTCGCTGTGCTCTTCTAATAGCCCTGGTCGCAGGCTGTTCAAACTCCGCTTCCAGGCACTGAGCATCAGCGATCCAGCCCTGGGTGAAGCTTTCAGCCTTCCTTTCAAATATCACGGAGGGGACAACAAGTAACTATAAGCATAGCGATGTTGTCATTGGCCAGGTCCAGCTTGCTGTACAGACGTTGCCTGCGGGCCTTCAGATGGTCAAAAGCACACCCCACGGTCATGCCGCACCTGCTCAGCCTCTTGTTGAACTGCTCCTGATTAATGTTCTCTCTCATCTTTTCCATCCATGGGACATTGTGTGCAGAAAGCATGACCAGCGCAGAGTTCTTACCGTAGGCACTGAGACTGTGTGAGTGTGAGGCTCTGCCTTCATCTCCCCAATAAACAAGTTTTCAGCATCCCACAGTAGGGCCTTTCTGGTGGTCACAAGTTAATCAGAGCTGCTGTTCAGGGTAAGCTTCCAGGCTTTTGGGGGCGGGGGGGAACCAACACAGGAGCAGAAGAGCCTCAGTAGACCAAACTACCACCTGTGGACCAGGGGGTCTGTCTGTCTGTCTGCTGGATCAGGAAGAAGGCCCTGAGTCAGCTTAAATCCCAGGCTTTTATCCCAAAGTACTTCCTTGGTCTGTTGGTCTCTGGAGTATCCAATTTGAACTAGTGTATCCACATCTCCTCAGGAAGTAGGGATGTTAAATTTAGATTAATTAACTAATCAACTACTCTATAAGATTTCTGTTGACTATTCGATTAGTCTGTTAAGGGCACCTCTGCCTTTCAACTGTAGCAAGAGCCCTACCTGGGTGGGGCTCTTATACATTTCAAAAGCAGAATTGCAGCAGAAGCAGCTTGAGTAGTGACTGCCTCAGTGTAAGCTTGCGCCATTTCCTGCTGTGCCTCTACCTCCACTGCGGAGACAGCGCTAGGGGGAAACTAGCTCCTTCCTCCCCCCACCCCCTTGCCCTTTGCTGTCTATCTCTGGTAGAGGCAGTGGGAGGGGGAGTGACTAGTCACATCACTAGTCTACTATCTGATAAGCTTATGCTTATCAGATAGTCAAGTAGTGGTCTCTTACATCCCTACCAGGCATGTAGAATAGTGATAGAAATGTAGAGCAGCTTCAAAGGCTGATAGCAGAGGATGTCCATTAGTATCCTTTCTCCCTGTCTAAAGAAGGTACCTACAAAGCCACAAAAACCATATGCTACTGGTTTAAAATGCAGTTATACCTTGGGGTTGTGACGTAGTGGGGGTACCTTGCTGGTTGCTATGCTGGGCAGCAGGTTGTGGGGGACCTCTGCTAGCGGCCGCATGGCCCAGCAGGGCAGGGGGTGAGTCATTATGCAAAGAGGGTCTCTCAACCTGTCTGACCAGCTACCCCCCAGGGAGAGAAACAAAGGAAGGTGGAATGCCGCCCTGGCTGGGGGACAGGGCTGGAAGAGAGGGGGTGTGTTTCTGTCTGGTATCATGGAGGAAGCAGCCTAGGCAACAGGCTGGGATTTAGGAGCCCAGACTCCCCCATCTCAAGGGGGGCTGAGGCATCCTAGGCCTGCCCTGGAACAAGATTACATCTGTGCTGTGCTGTATCCTGGAGAGGCAATAAACTTGTTCATGCCATTTTGGGGGTGCAGGAGATGGGAAAACCCCAAAGCGCCATCACAGGGGTACACTAGATTAAAATGCAGGGTGCCCCAAAGGTGTTAACCTTCCAGTAAAACTTAGCTCATCTTAAAGTTTGCTCAGGATATTATCAGTCAGTCATGATGGTCACGTTAATCAGACACAACCTAGGAGTTTCAGCTGCAAAACCCCCTCCTATGTGACTGAATAGCATAGCACCCTTCATGGGCTGTTTTTCCCAATGTCCAATATTAGAGGTTGATGTAATCCTATGCAATAAATTAGTGATATAATCGTGGTTGAAAGACTAAGGGCAGGAGGAAATTAAACTGTTAAAAATGTGGTGGCATTTATAAAAAAAAAATCAAAATTTAAACTGTTCAACGGTTGCTTTTAAAATGGGGGGCGGGGTGGAAATTGATCAATCAGATCAAATGTTTGTTCAAACAGTTTTGAAAATTGGATTTTAAAAAATGAAGCAGCCAGCTCTACCAGGGTACATGCACTTAAGGCTCCACTCTGGGAGGTGATCAGCATATCCAGCCACGAGGAGCAAGAGTAAACAGTTTACTCACTCCTTGTTGGGAGAATACGGAGTTTAGTTTGCCTGTTCACCGTGCTTCCAATTCTAACTGAAGTCAACACATATCGGTGCTCAGTTTAGGTTGCTTTGGGCTGAAAATAAAGGCCCGCATTTTATAAATTTGATCTTAAATGTCCTCCTTTCCCTCCCTACAATTAAACTCATGGCAACTGGGGTACCAAGAAACTGCTTCTAACAGGCAGGGAGAAAGTAACTAGAAAGGAAAGATTGAATGCCTAGCTGAGGTCTGTGAAAGGCTGTTGCATCTCTGCAAGTTCCTGTGCACTACCCAACTGGAATGAAAGAGCAGAAGAAAGGTGTGAGGACAATTGTGGACAAATATTGTGTGTAGGGGCAGAACTGTTGGGTTTAACTGCATAATAGCAGGGGAAATTATCTTAAGGGAAGGGAAATGGTGACAGATGGAGATGACAGATAAATGCTAAAGAGGATGTGAGAGACCTCCCTGTGATTCTGTTTTCATGTAAACGTCAATAGCTGTGAAGGAGAATTGCAGCCAGCTTTGCTAGCTGGCAAGATACAAGAGGAGCATGGCTGTATTAGCAAGCAATGCAAACTGTCCTGTATCTTATGCAGTGTTGTACCAGAGTGAACTTATATTAATTGCCACCGATTTATTTATTTTATTTTATTTTTTTGCATTGCCAATACAAAACTGCTACATAGAAGCTATGAGAAGCTGGTGGTTGACAGATCTGGGAGTAGAAAACTGAGGAATCTGGCATCCTGGAATGGTACAGAAGATCAGCTGGAATTTTGGAACTCAAGGCTGCTGGTGAGCAAAGATAAAGCTGAGAAATTTTGCAAAGATTAAATTCATGTTTCCACTCTTCAGTCTCCCTTCAGACCTGCCAGCTGTCTGATCGCTCTAGCAAAATGGCTTTCAAATTTTTTTTCCCTCATGGATCACTTAAACTGTTGAGGGGGGCTTGGTGGACCATTTAATGATCGTAGCTAATGGAACAAACTGCATTTGAAAATTGCTATAAAGTGCTTCAGCTAAAAGCACTTTACTTTAAAAAAAAAAAAAAAACTTGTCTGGACAAGTGATTTAAGTTTTAGCTGCAGTTTTGGGAGATCTGTCTATCTCTCTCCTCCTCCGCTACTGAGCTAGGGTTGGAAAGGAGAATCATTTGTCCAGCACCTGCGGCCCCGGAGCTGGGGAAAGTCACTGTTTTCCTCTGGCCACCCTGAATGTCCCAAATTTCCCCTTCACTCCACTGCGTCCCCTTCCATTTCCTGTTTCCCCCACTGCCTACTCCCCATTCCTTTCCAGCCCACCACCTCCCCTTACGTGTACATCATCTCCAGGGTCCAGGCACCTAATTAGCAGAGCCATGTCGGCACAGTTTTAATTAGGTGGGGGGACCTTCATTCTCTCATGTGCAGCCACTCAGCGTGCGCCCGAATGGAGCCCCGCAGACCACAGCTTAAAAGGCTCTGCTCTAGCGCAGCGTGTCCTGTGTCCAATAGCAATTCACACACGCATTCAGTGAATGTGCTGCGAAGCTAGCACCCTCCCCACCAGCAGACCAGGGAGACGCGGAGCGGCTTTTCTTAGCAGACACCTCAGCTTGAGAATAAAGGACTGAGGGAAGTGAGGTGTGGGGGAATAAAACTGAGCTCTGGAGAAATGTTTGGCTAGAGTTTCCCCTACAATATGTACCAGTTCCGACTTACATACAAATTCAACTTAAGAACAAACCTACAGTCCCTATCTTGTACGTAACCCGGGGACTGCCTGTATACACAATCCCAAGCACAATGGCTCTTGTTCTCAGTTCAGGGGTCTCTATACTACTATAATGCAAGCAAATACGGAATAATTTTGGTGACAGTGGATTCTTAATGTAGAGCTTTACTTGTCTGCAGAATTTAGGAGGCCCTGGTCATTAATATGCATCTCTTCATGGTCTCATCAACTGCTGTGGTAGCTGTGGTCACGTAATGGACAGGAACACTTGTAAGGAAAGTAGTATGATGCTGTAGACAGGATACAGCTACTGAAATGTGGTGATGGAGGTTCTCCTCACAGTTCTGCTGTTCTGTATAGACATTCTCCCCCTTTTGCCCTGTCTCTCCCCCGCCTCTGTATTAGAGGCAGCAAGGAAGGAGAAGCAGAAGCTGGTGCTGGGGGGAGCTGGCTTAAAAGCTGGTTTTCCCCCAGCACCGTCTCTTTGGTGCCACCCCTCCCGCTGCTGCCCGTGCGGGGAGGCAAGGGCTGCTGCCATGAAGCAGCCCCTGTCTGCAGCGACAGCAGTCCCTGTGCACAGGTCCCAAATCCCCTGAGCTGGGCTGCTGGCTGGGCAGGCAGCCCAGCTCAGTTCTGGCTCGTGCCAGGTGCAGGACAAACGCAGTAGGAGCCAGGAAGCAGGGTGCCCAGCTCCTACTGCCTTTTAAATTGCAGAGCCGTAGCGGGGTTTGGTCGCACATCCGGCGCGAGCCAGAACTGAGCCAAGCTGCCTATCGAGTAATTTTAATTTCAAGTAACCTGCACTTTAACAACCCTAGTTCTGTAGATGTGGGATGCCCGTGTCCCCCCCCCCCAGTGATACTCACCCAGTCTGGTAAAGACTTCAGAGATCCTGAGAACTTGTAAAGGAAAGGGGAAGGTGTATTTATTGGTGCAGGTGTATCTACAGCAGAGCCCTTTGTTTGCTGAGCCGTAGCTTGGAATGGATCGAGGTTCCCTTTCTCCTGTGTGCAGTGTCCGCACTGTTCGCTCTTCAGAGCCCCTTGTGGATGGGCACTTGGACCTCGTGTGAGGTTTCTCTGCTTAGGGCTTCCCAGTCTAAGGTTATGGTTCCTATGAGCAGCCCAATGGGAGCCCGGGTTAGGTTCCTGTGGAGAGGACACAGACCTGAGCTCTGTACTGAGAGCCTGGCGGCAGCTGTCTCCCCCGCATATCTGAAGGCATGCAATGCAGGGCGTAATGGTGTTCCAGAGGTTTAATCCCAAACTGGTGCTTTTGGAGTTTGGCTTTTAGTAGCTGGAGGCAAACTCAGACAGGCACCTGAACACACCCTGCAGTGATCCCTTACGTTGGGAAAGCCTAGGGCGAACCCCTGATCGAGGGTTCTTGCCTCATCCCCCTGTGGACACTTGTGGGGAGTGTTGAACGTTCCTACTATAGGGTCAGCTGATCAGGGTTTCCTCACCCTTACAGCCCGGAGTGGTTGGGCAATGCGGCTGTGCCCTGTCGAATACCAGCTTTGAGAACTGCTGCTGGAGCGGCACCACTTCTCCTTTGTGATGAAATCCCAAAGTGTGGCCCATGACCGTCTTGCAGGTGGGCCAGGGGCTCAGGGTTTGCCCCCTCTGCGGCGGGCAGCCTCTGCTGGCACTTCAGCTCCACTCCCCCTCTGTGAGGTTGGCATGCCGGCTTCCTGCTGCAGGGGTGGGTGCTGGATCTAGCTTGCAGGGGAAGGAAGTGGCTCCATGTGCTGCCACTTCCTCTCCCCCCACGGCTGGAGGACCTGCAGCACAGGAATCTGCTTGCCTGGAGGTTTTTCCCGCTGCTCCCATTGGCCAGAATCATACCAATGAGACCAGTGATGGGCAGTGCCTGGGAATGGCAGGAGACATGGAGCCAGGGAAGCACCCCCCCTACTGAAACCCCACACACCTACCCCACTCCTAAACCCTCCGTTCCTCCCAGACTCCACCCCCTTCTGCAGCCATTTTGTCATCATGGGTGGTTGGCTGGTGGTCAGAAAGGTCGCTGAGTGGAGTGGGCCATGGGCCAAAAAGTTTGAGAACCACTGCTTTACAGGAAGCCCTAGCAGCCTGTGCCTCATGGGGCCTGCAGCATCGGGGAAGCTGTAACCCTTATCAAATCTACCAAGGAGTTCCTCCCAGACTCCACCCCCTTCTGCAGCCATTTTGTCATCATGGGTGGTTGGCTGGTGGTCAGAAAGGTCGCTGAGTGGAGTGGGCCATGGGCCAAAAAGTTTGAGAACCACTGCTTTACAGGAAGCCCTAGCAGCCTGTGCCTCATGGGGCCTGCAGCATCGGGGAAGCTGTAACCCTTATCAAATCTACCAAGGAAAAACCCTCTCGGGGCGATGGCGTGAGGTCCAATGCAATGTGTGACACTGGGAGCCTGGCTGTCACGGCATGATTGCTGACAAAGGTACTGGCATGTATAGTACAGGGCCCACAGTGGTGGTGTGGGCGACACTGCAGCAGCCAGGGGAGCACTGGGGATGTGTGATGACTTGTTACTCATCCATTCCTGTACAGGCCAGGATACAGATCTGAGTGTTCTGGGCCAGATTCCATGCCAGGGCAAATGAACAGGACACAGAGCACAGCTATACCGCCTATGGCTTATCTATTCAGACTGCTGCTCCAGGGGATGGGGGACCGGTTTTCAGCTGAGGAAAGTCAGGCTGTGTTCCCTGACTGTTGTTCCCAGACTGCTGTTGCCTTGGGCTTTTAGGGTCACACTTTTTTTCCAGAAGCAGCCTCTGACTTTTGGTGCCCAAACAGTGGAACCTGACTTTCAGGGATGCTGAGCCATCTCTGATCCTGAGGACTTCAGTCAGGAAAGCCTTGCACCTATAAAGGGCACAAAGGGACAGGGATAGGAACCGGACTGCTCTGATCTCCAGACTACCTTAGACTGCATCGCCCCAGCTAAATGGCACAAGAATTGCTCACCAAGACATTCATTGTTCCAGTGTCCTATTTGTTCTATTCAGGCGTCTGGCATGAAATTCCCAAAGGGTCCTCTTAAAAAAAGGAACTACCAGTGAGCCCCTGCTTCCAGCATTGATCAAACATCTACACTCCCCTTCCCCTCCCCAATGTTTCTGGATTACAAGAACATTATTTTCCCAGGAATTCCACTGTTTAAAAAGCTTGGCCATGGATATTCAGGGGAGAGGGGTGTATGCTAAGGGACAGGGAGTTGGTATAAGAAGCACTCTGTTGAGCAAACTGTGGGGAGGTCACTTGACCAGAAACATGGCTTCAAAACCTTTGGCATGGAGAAGGCTGGGAAACCATAAAATGATGTCTCTGTCCAAAGAGCTATGTTTCTGCCAAAGGCTGTTGTGGAGACAGATCGTCACCCCTGGAGGTGATTCAAATGTCTTAGTCTCTCTCCATATAAAGACAGAGAGGCAACTGTACAACAAGATTGTTTGAGGGATGTATACACGTCACAGGTGGGGGGGGGGTTGTTTTTTTTGTTTTTTGTTTTTTTTTTCATCATTGCCTCTGCCTTGGATTTCTTGGCTATTTCCACATTTTGGATTTTAAATGTGCCTGTTAATGAGAGGCACATGTAAGTGTGTGCTGTTGGCTTTCTCCAGCAGTGCAGCAGACGATAGAAAACATGAAGGAACTGGCTCTAAATGAGGAAGCGACACCAGTTAGTGTTCTAAGTCGCTTGGAAACTTGACAAACTGCGAACACAGGGAGCTAAACTGGCATGAATGCTGAAGATTTACTTTGGGAGTGACTGAATTAGATGTCCCCAGAAGCACAAACAGGCCTACAGAGCTCTGATTGGCACTCTGCTGAGAGTTGGCTGGCCATGTGGTGCTGGTGCTTCGGAGGAAAGAGGCTCCTGGAGGCCTGTAATAGCATCTCACAACAAGATAGATCTGATAGCGCTTTTGATAAGCGGAGGGTTGTCGCTGTTGTGGTCTTGGTCAAATTCCAGCTCAGAGATTTATATTTTACCTTCTTGAATTATCCTGCAGTTTTACTGGATATAATTTTCTGCTACGCTGCTTTCCCAGAAGTACCGTGTAACGTGACGGTGAC